GGAAAATTTGGCCTGAGGCTGTGGCCTGAAGGAAGGGGTGCTTGTTCAAATGCAGTCAGCCTCCTTTTTGCAATTTCTCTCTCTGGAGGGGGCGCCTTCTGATTTCCATAGGAGATGTGACTTAGTAGGACTTCTTTTAAAACATGGAGAACGAGGAGAGACACTTAACTATGTTCAATTCTTACGTGAGTGGGAACAACGTGGTTGAGAGGTGTGGTAGAACTAACAGGCAGGAAAACTGGTGATTGGTAGGGGGAGCTGGGGTTTAATCTATCATAGTGAAAGAAAAAATGAGGTAGCAAGTCCACCAACTTAAATGTGATAAAATCATTTTATTTAAAAAAAAAAAAACTATTTCTGATTGCGCTCTCTGCTAGGGTGGTGGACACTTTACCTTGGTAATTCCTGGGGTTTCTCCCCTCCCAGAGCCTTACTATTGATTTGGGGTCTCAGGGTTGTTAAAGCTAATGATTCAGTGGGTACCCATGTGCCTGCTCCTAAGTAAGAGGCGGACGCCAGCTAACTAACCGGTTTGGTCCTGACAAGAGGCGGTGCGGAGAAGGAAAAAAAAAAAAATGTCGCCTTTGTGAAAAAAGCAACATTTCTGGAAACTGCTGTCTCCAGACAAATTAGTAACTTCAAAGCATGTGAATGCCAAGATTTGCGACATTGCCAAAATTCCCAGTTCCCAGAAGATAAGGTTCTCAATAGATAGGGCAAATTTTAACGACCTGTTTTGTTTTCCTCGATGCATAAACAACATCAGATAGATACATTAACCAGACCCCTACTTGGATTTTCTTTGCAGAAGTACTTGAAACGTTTCGCAAACTTCAGAGCGCACCAGCTGAATGTAGTCTCACTAAGAAACTAAATTCGGGCAGCTTTACCAGGGCTGTGTGGAGGCTCCCTGGACTGGAGTCCTCAGTCTTAATTCTCTAATAAACGCACTTAGTTTTGCTTGCCTCGATGTATTGAAGCCAGAAAGATCACTGGGGTTTTGGCCCACATGGTTGTCTAGGAGATGTCCCTGCCACTCCCGCTGGCCCTTCTGCTGCCTGCAAGCTGTGCCTGAGGCCCGGCATGACTCGGGGACAGTCCATACCCAAGCCTCACTGTGGGGCTGTGCTCCCCTGACTCATTGCCAGATAGCAGGCCTCAGGTGCTCTCTGCTGTGGAATCCAGAGACTTCTCTGTCTCTCTCACCCACTCCAACCTAAGGGAAGATGGGGGACTTCTTCTAAGCATCAGTCTCTCGTCTCTACATCAGCTAGATTTTCCTGCACAGCAAACCTCCCAGACTTAGTACCTTCCACCCCACATCTGTGATTTTTCACAATTCTGTGGATCAGTTAGGTGGTTCTTCTGGTTGGGTGAACTTAGTTGGGGGTGGGAGGGAGGGTGTAGCATCCTTGTATAGAAAATAGGGTTCTCAGACTGGCAGCGCCAGCAGTGCCCAGGAGCTTATTAGAAATGTGGTCTCCTGGTGCTGTGCCCGCAGCTGTATGGATCCCATGCCCTGAAATCTGCACTCTAGGTCTCAGTTCCAGGGCTATCAGATCCAAAATGCTGGCTGTCACCCTGTGCAGTGCCCGCTGTTGTGGAGGGTCCCACACCCCAGATCTTGCACCTGGCTCTCAGTGGAATATTACTCAGCAATCAAAAAGGATAAACTCATGCCATTTGCAGCAACATGGATGGAGCTAGAAGGAATTATGCTCAGTGAAATAAGCCAGAAGGAAAAAGAAAAAAAATATTGGATGGTTTCACTTATAGCAGGAATATAGGGGAACCAAATAAGTCATCAGTGTAAAAAATAATAATAATAACAGTACAAACCACAACAAAGCAAAAACAGGCAATTATAAACCAGAGACATCCTGCAGGGGAGCAGGAGGGAGAGGGGTGAGAGGGATGGAGGGAGGAGCACAGGGGACTGAGGTGATGGTGCACGGGTGCCTTGGGGAGGGAAATTCTATGGGGACTACACCTGAGGGGGTGGGGGGAAGCAAATATTGTTTAAAAATTAAAAAAAAAGATAAACTTTAAAATAAATAAATAAGGGTGAAAAAAAAAAAAAAGAAATGTGGTCTGTCTGGCGGCTAGTTGGTCGCAGTGACAGAAATGGTCTACTCTCTCCTCCATGCGGCCCCGCCCAGGCTTCCTCCCCACGTGGTGGTCTCAGGGTTCCCAAGAGCACCCAGAGAGAAATCCCCACAGGCTTCTTCAAGCCTCTGCTGTGCCATGTTTGCGCTCTCCTGGGGCCAATGCAAGTCGCCAGGCCATCCCAGAATCAGTGTGGGACGTGTTCCCAAAGGGCATGGGGAGAGTAGGCCAAAACTGGGGGGTTATTTTTAAAAACCTACCACACTCTCCACCGCTGGAGTTTAGGCTTTTGGAAACACCAGGGACCTTTTGCATTCTGCCCAGCCATAGCCTTCCCCCCTAAACACACACACACACACACACACACACACACACACACACACACACACACACACACACGCAGAGCCACTTACTTGCTTCAGAGGAGAGGTCAAAAAAGGAAAAACTAAGGAAGGAGATGGGGAAGGTGAAAGTGATAGATTGATATGCAAAACAATAGCCTTGCCACAAAGGGGAAGATGGGTACAAAGATAAGTGGTATGTGGGTCTGGGGGTGGGAAAATGAGAGACTGTCTAACACGATTTCTCTTTCTCTGAGAAGCAGAGGGTGACGTCATCCCTGAGACTATGGATGGCGCCAAGAAGGATATCTGAGGTCTGAGGACATTTGAAATGGTCATAATTGGGTTTGAGACGGGGCATTGACAGGAAAAGGCTAAGGTTGCAAGGAATATTTGAGATTGATGATTATGAATTTATCTTGATGCCAATCTGCCTTGTGGGGAAACTTTTTGCAGCAGCGTTTGCAGGCACACAGAAATGGCCAAAAACGGTTCAAGAAAATTTTGCAAAATGAGTAATAAACAGATAGGGGGCAAGGAAGTTTAGATTTATTGGTAGACGTGTTATTAACATTATGGTCTGGGGTCTCTTAGTTGAATATGAAAAGAGAAGAAAGTGGAAGACTATGAAACTGAGAAGAAAGTGGGGTAGTGATCAGTGAGCTGGAGCACAGTGGCTGGAAGAAGAAGGAATTGTGGACGGAAAGCAGGATGCCTGAGCTAGTGATTTCAGAAGCGGTGTAGTTTCTGTGATGAAAAAGATTAAAGGAGATCTTTGTAGATGTTCTCACTTTTCCAATTGGAACACTTTGCCCTGTGGAGATGGGATTTCTTTCTATTTTCCATTAACTTTACAAAACCTCCAAAACATTCTCGTTCCCTTGCTCACTCTCCTGTTGCCTGTATTTTAAGTTCTCTTTTGGGTTTCAGGAACTCTGCCTCTTGAACCTCGTGCCACTTTTTCTTCCTTGAGTACACGGCCCTCCTTACAGGTCTTGTGAAACAGAGCTCCTGAGGAGCGTCACCATCCCATCGCTGATTGTCTTTTGCTTATGTGTATCAGAATAGGCTGGGCTGTGAAAACTAATGACCCCCCAAATCTCAAAATACCGGGATGTGTGGAAGCACTCAATATTATCTCCATTTTAGGGGCCTCCCTGGTGGCGCAGTAGTTAAGGAAAGAACAATCACCAGCCTCTGCAGCATGAGTTCGATCCCAGCAGGCCAGGGATCATGGCACAGCAGGCCACTCCCGCCTCGCCTGCTGCTCCCCTCAGCAGTGTATTTCAGTCATTCTGCCTGTTCTGCTCCCCACTCTGTCTCTGGTGAATCTTTCTCTTTCTCACCCGCCACACCTCTGGCCTGTACCTCAGTTCTTGTATGCATAAATAAATAAATCTTTTTTAAAAAATGTGCATTTTACAAAAAAGCAAACAGATTCTCGGGGTGTCTGCAAAATGTGCATGACCCACGCGGGGTAAAACTCTAAAGAACATGACGCTTAAAAACAAGGGGCAGACCGAAGAATGGAATGAGCTCGCATATGCAGTCAGTGGTGCCTCCAACTCCCCGGACCCCCTGCAACGTGCAATAGTGTGTATTCATGTTAGTGCAGTTCCCCGTCCAGAACGGATAACAGCCACCCCGGGGACGGATGGGCTGGGGGAAGAGGGACGAGTAGATTTGGACCGAGAACGGATCCCAGTTCTGGCGAGGCGGGGAGTCTGCCTACGACGGACATGGGCAGGCAGGGGACTCATAAAACAGGAGCGGCAGTCGAGTCCTCTGGCCGGGCCCACGTCCCGTCACTGGGTACGTTCTGTCCACACGAGCCCCTCCCTTCCCTGAAGTCAATTCGTGAGCACTGGACTTCATGACGGAGGGGCTGGGGGGAAGGTGGGGTCAGGCTCGGTGCGCCTCAGCTGGCGTCCCCACCCCCTGGCTACCCCACCCAGATCTGGCAGAACCGTGGGTGAACCCCGAGTGGTGGAGAGGCGGGGAGAAGCTGCGGGGCGAAGGCGGGGCGGGCGGCTGCCTAGCCGGCCAATAGGCGGCTCTCCAGCCGCGGAGCCGAGAAAGGGCCGGGGCGCAGCCAGCAGCACCACCGCCTCCCAAGTTTCCCCTTGTGGATGCACAGCCCAGTGGCTCCGCTCCTCCCGGCTCAGAGGGGCCCGAAGAGGCCGGAGGCGAGGACTCGGGGCGGGATTCCGGGGGACGGGGAGAGGACCGGCGCCCGAGCCGCTCTGGGAACTGCGGGGGCCGGTGAACCATGAAGGGCCGGCGGCGGCGGCGCCGGGAGTACTGCAAGTTCGCGCTGCTGTTGGTGCTCTACACGCTGGTGCTGCTGCTCATCCCCTCGGTGCTGGACGGCGGCCGCGACACGGACAAGGGCGCCGGACACTGCCCGGGCCTGGGACACAGTCTAGGAGTGTGGAGCCTGGAGGCCGCGGCCGCGGGAGAGCGCGAGCAGAGCGCGGAGGCGCGGGCCGCCGCTGAGGGGGATGCGGGCCAGCCCCCCGGGTCCCCGGGCAATCTCAGCGGCGCCGTCAGGGAGGCGGTGTCTCGCGAAAAGCAGCACATCTATGTGCACGCCACCTGGCGCACCGGCTCCTCGTTCCTGGGCGAGCTCTTTAACCAACACCCGGACGTCTTCTACTTGTACGAGCCCATGTGGCATCTGTGGCAGGCGCTGTATCCGGGCGACGCGGAGAGCTTGCAGGGCGCGCTGCGCGACATGCTCCGCTCGCTCTTCCGCTGCGATTTCTCCGTGCTGCAGCTGTACGCGCCGCCCGGGGACCCCGCGGCGCGCCCCCCGGACTCGGCCAATCTCACCACGGCCGCTCTCTTTCGCTGGAGAACCAACAAGGTCATCTGCTCCCCGCCGCTGTGCCCCGGCGCGCCCCGTGCCCGCGCAGAGGTCGGCCTCATCGAGGATACCGCCTGCGAGCGCAGCTGCCCACCCGTGGCACTACGCGCCCTGGAGGCCGAGTGCCGCAAGTACCCGGTGGTGGTCATCAAGGACGTGCGCCTCCTCGACCTGGGCGTGCTGGTGCCCCTGCTGCGCGACCCGGGCCTCAACCTGAAGGTGGTGCAGCTTTTCCGCGACCCGCGGGCAGTGCACAACTCGCGCCTCAAGTCCAGGCAGGGGCTGCTGCGCGAGAGCATCCAGGTGCTGCGCACCCGCCAGCGGGGCGACCGCTTCCACCGCGTGCTGCTGGCGCAAGGGGTGGGCGCTCGCCCGGGGGGCCCGTCCAGAGCAATGCCCGCCGCGCCACGCGCCGACTTCTTCCTGACCGGCGCGCTCGAGGTGATCTGCGAGGCCTGGCTGCGCGACCTGCTGTTCGCGCGCGGTGCGCCAGCCTGGCTGCGGCGCCGCTACTTGAGGCTGCACTACGAGGACCTGGTGCGGCAGCCGCGCGCACAGTTGCGCCGCCTGCTGCACTTCGCTGGGCTGCGAGCACTCGCCGCGCTCGACGCCTTCGCGCTCAACATGACGCGCGGCACAGCCTACGGCGCAGACCGGCCCTTCCACCTGTCCGCGCGCGATGCCCGCGAGGCTGTGCACGCCTGGCGCGAGCGCCTGAGCCAAGAGCAAGTGCACCAGGTGGAGGCCGCCTGCGCCCCGGCCATGCGTCTGCTAGGCTACCCTCGAATCGGAGAAGAGGGAGACACTGAGTCGCCCAGGGATGAAGAGATGCCGGTGAAGACCGAGGCCGACACGTAGCCCCCACCCGTGCCCTTGGGGCAAATCCTGGTAAAGTGTCCCAGGCAGGGTTGCTTCAGGGAAGGGTGGTTGGGACCAACCTGCAAGGCGAGGGGTAAGCCGTGCCCAGCTCACACTCGGTGAGAACACATCCCACCAGGTCGGAAACCCCCGCTGGGGTAGCATATGGGAGATACCGTCAAGATCTCCAGTTTATCACCTGCCTCCTCAGAGGAAGTAGTTGAGATGAGAAGTTAAATATGGCCAGCGGAACCCGTCTTGGCACTCCACGGTTCCCTCTATGAAGCAGGCCATAAGGTCATCTGCTGAGAAGGAGGGTGGCGCAGGGGGAGGGAAGAGTCGCACCCGAGGTCGGAGGAGAGTAGAGAAGGTTTGAAAGTCATAAAACCTGAGACTCGGACTTGACAAGAAACGGGCAGGATTTCAGACACCATTTGAAGTTGATAATTTGCCAATCTGGTCTGTGGGAAAAGGTTTTATGCTGTTTGCAGACAAAGGGAAAGCCAAAGGCCAGGTTTGGTGGAAAGCTGTTGACTTTTAGCCTGCCTACCCCTGATATGTTTCATATTTCTCTGTCTCTCTGATGCACAGGCTCTGGGGCTTTCCTCCCGAGTTACCACCCCTTGGGGCATAGCCAGACCACTCTGCAACAGTTTCTGTGTACGTGTTTGTGTCTTCCTCTAGGTGCAATGAGGTCGAATATATTTTGCTTTCCCCTGGCTCCTGTGCCTCCCCAAACCTCCCGTCCCCTCCCCCACTCCCCCACCTCCACCACCTCCGCTCCCCACCGGTGGCTGGTGTGCGTGGGATATGTGACCATATTTTATTCGCCAGGTCACAAAATCTGCCTGGTCAGCTTCCTCTAGTACCCACAAGACGCCAGGGCTGGGGTTTCCCCTCCCGTCCCCATCCGTTGGAGAGATGGAACCTTAAATTGGCAGTAGCAGCTTTGGCTTTGAAGAAGGAGGTTTGTTAAAATACTCCCCCTTCTTTTATTATTTCTCCAAGAACCCTCCATCCTAAGATGCAAGTGTAGGGGCATCCGTGATCTCAACATGTGTTCAGTGTCTGACCTATATGTTGGGCTGAAGGAGCGTTTATTCTGTATGATGCTGGCCTTAGGAGTCTGGTGGGTGAATAGAGACCATGTCTCCCCAAACTTTGTGTGAGTTGCCGGGGTCCAGCCCTGTGCACTGTGCAGTCGCTGGAGGAGGAAAAGCAGTGCCGGGAGGGCGGAAGTGACTTAAGTTTCCATTCATTATTTTGTAGTGTAATTCAGTATTCCTTTGGGAAGAAGCTCTGAGGACAAAGTTGAAGATGCTAATGAAGATAGATTTTCCTGTAGTTAATCGAGCCAGGATTTCAGAGTGATCTCGGAACTGACTGTTTTTTTCTCCCCGTAATCAAGTGGTTCTCTTAGTCCATTTTTGTAATTGCTGGGAAGTCTGTGTTCTTTCCGGATTTCCAGAGTCAAGGAAGGCAAGGCACAGGGTGACTTGTCACATTTGAACAAAAACATCCTTTCATCTGCTAATCCTCTATTTACAGATGTAAATAGCATAATGGTCCCTTGCCCTCGACCACAGGCCCGAGGGAGCACCTCTTCAGGGCAAAAGCGGCAGCATTTTACGGCTTTTAAGAACTGACACGCTCCCAGAAACTTTTACTTTTCTAGTAACATTTATTGAGCACTGACTGGGGTGAGGTGAAGAAAGAGAGAATGGAGAGGAGAACTTGCCGGTGACAGAGATTATGGAACAAGACCCCAGTGCTGTCTAGAAGGCCCCTTTGAGGGACACCTGGGAGCAAGTTTTAGGGCTTTCATACTTAGATGAGTGAGCTCTTCCCCACACATTTCTGCTGGAATTATTGGACCCTTAGCCATGTTATCACCAAACAAGCGATCTGTTAAAATGCTTGTATTCCTGGTTTCTGGAAAGATAACATAACTGACCCACTAAGGAGTTTTCCAAAGGTCTGTCCCAGTCTCCTCTTAGAAAGGGAAAGGGGTGGAGCCTCGGGTGCCAAGCATTGAGTAGACGTTGTCGGCATGTCGTAATTGATGCCAGTTTTATGGTATGATGATGAATCCCTCTTTTTAAAAATGGAAATACCTGGGGCCTCCCTGGTGGCGCAAGGGTTAAGACGCAACCTATGAAGCTATCCGCAGCCTCTGCAGCACAAGTGTGATTCCCCGCCAGCCAGGGAGCAACCCACATGGCGCAGCTGACCTCTCCTGACTCGCCTGCTGCTCCCCTTAGCAATGTACTTCGGTCTTTCTGCTTGTTCTGTTCCCCACTCTGTCTCTGGTGAATTCTCTCAACCCCCCCCCACCCACACACACCCCTCTGGCCTGTACCCCAGCTCTTGTATGCATAAATAAATAAATCTTTTAAAAAAATGTCAATACCTGAACCCCATCCCCAGAGATCCTGATTTTATTGGTCTGGGGTGGGGTCCAGACTCTGGGGTGTTTTAAAAGCTGTACAGTCACAGTTCAGGACCTCAGGTTTGGATCAGTGACAGTTCATCCTCTGGGCCGGACTGTTGTCACCAGAGTAAGATCAGGATGGGGACAAAAGGGCTGTTGATGAGCAATGAACTGTCCACTGCAGTAATTTGTGTGAGTGAACTTGGAGCTATGAAGTTCCAGGCAGATGTTAGATATTATTATGGAGCACGGAGGGATGTCTTAAGTTATACATGGCTCCATTTATCACCCTCTTGCTTTCCTTCCAGTGCTTTGTTGTCTGTAGCTCCTTGTCTAATAATCCATCATATACTATCCACTACTGTCCTATCCTTTTCCACATGTCTCCCTCTGCCCTTGATAGGACCCAAGATTTTATTCCTGAAGGCATTTTAGACACCTTAGTCTTTGTTCTTGACAGGCTTGATGAATAAAATTAGCAAAGAGATAAGTACACTGCAATCTGCGGGCCAAGAATCACAAAGCTTTCTTTCTAAGGAAATCATCCAAGGAGAAAAAGAAATCACCAGCTCCCAGCAAATCCCTAACAAAGCATTTGGAAAGCCATCCCATTTTTACCAGGATACTGTGCCCCAAAAGGCTGAGGTATGAATAACATTGAAAGGAGACCCTCTTGCTTACACACAGACAGCTGAAGAATTGGCATTTGTTAGACATTTAAACAAAAGTTGTTTAAACTCCTAATTACAAATCAGTATAACTACTCTCTTCAAGTTAAAGGGCTGGTGTGTATGTGTGTGTGTGTGTGTGTGTGTGTTCACATAGATGGGCACTTGAGTGGCAGGGCCGGAGGATGTGGAAACAGTTTTTTAAAACACATCCATGTCTAAATCTTGATGGCCCTCCCTTGTGAGTTTAGTGCTGCTTTTGATCAAGACATTCTTAGAGCTCTTAGTTGGCTCTGACTACTCACGCAGGGTAGACTCCCCCAGTTGTTAGTGGACTTGTTGTTGAGCAAAATCAAGACTCATCAAAGTTCGGTGAGTGAGGCAGGGGAGGAGGATCTGCAAAGTGAGGGGTGGCCATGAGGTAGCAACACAGTCGTAGGAAACCAGCTTTATGTTAGGGGACAGGAATCCAGGCTTCGGAGCCTGTGTCTCCTGGTTACTACTCAACTGACCTTGGGCAAGTCCCTCAATGTTCTTTTTTTTTTGGCTTTAGTATTCTAACCAATAAAAAAGGAGGTTGAATTAAGAGGATTTCCCAGGTTTCTTGGTCCTACTGGGAGTTCTGCTTTGTGCTTAATGTTACTTGCTTAATGCATGTTTTCATTTTTAGATTTCACACATAAGTGAGATCATACAGTATTTTCCTTTCTCTGTCTGACCTATTACACTTAGCATGATATCCCATGGTATATGCCGCGTTAGTCCATTCAGCCATCAGTGGAGACTTAGATTGCTTTCATGTTTTGGCTGTTGTGAATAATGGTTCGGTGAACATGGGAATTCAGATATTTTTTCAAGTTAATGTTTTCATTCCCTTTGGAGAAATACCCAGAAGTGGAATTGCTGGATATATGGTAACTCTTTTTTTATTTTTTTTTAAGAAACCACCATACTGTTTTCCACAATGGCTGCACCAATTTACATTTCCATCATCCTTGGGCAATAGTGGCACTTTGCTCTATCAAATTTCTGCTATCATCTAATTAAGGTCCAGAAATATGATGGCAAAGATGAGATTTTCCAGAATGTGCCTTTGAAGATAATAGAATGAGGGGCCTCCCTGCTGGTGCAAGGGCTAAGATGCAACCATGAAGCTATCCGCAGCCACTGCAGCATGAGTTCGATCCCCAGCCAGGGAGCAACACACATGGCGCAGCGGACCTCTCCTGTCTTGCCTGCTGCTCCCCTCAGCAGTGTGTTTCAGTCAGTCCACCTGTTCTGTTCCCTGCTCTGTCCCTGGCCAGCAGCTGAGGGCACGCATTGCACCCATTTTTGAAGAGTCCCAGTACCAACTGCATTTAACTATAAGGATATGTTGTTCTTTTCATATATTATTTAGTGACACTTTTGAGGACAATTTTTCAGTATTTCTGTCCCTGTTAAATAAGGTGCTCTTTGATCTAAATGCTTAATATTATAATATTGACTTATATTTCTAGATGAAAATAGAATGTACTTTTGGTAATCAGAAAGTCTGAGGAAATTGGCTGCTGGTTGTTTTCATCACATTCTTACAAAATTATTTCCCTTTTTTAAAAAGATTTATTTATTTATGCATTCAATAACTGGGGTGTAAGCCAGAGGTGTGGGGGGTAAGAGGATTCACCAGACAGAGTGGGGAGCAGAACAGGCAGATCTACTGAAACACACTGCTGAGGGGAGCAGAGGGCTAGTCAGGAGAGGTCTGCTGTGCCATGTGGGTTAGCTCCCCGGCCAGCCAGGGATCAAACTCATGCTGCTGTGGCTGGCGATAGCTTGATAGTGCTGTCTTTGACCCCTGCACCACCAGGGAAGCCCTACTTCCCATTTTTTTTATGGAATGTTCCAACACCTAGCTACGCCATAGGTGCTGCTGAGTTCCTCCATGCACC